GCCAAATCCGGGACCGCCGTCCCTCTCTGAATTTCATCAGAACCAATCAGACCATGGAGATTTGAGTCTCTAGTACAGCAGGTCCAAAGGACTAATTACCTGCGCTTGTCTGGCCCCATTGGGTGAAGAGGTCCAGAAGACCTGCTGTTATCATATAGATGTAGTGGGACGCTGGACCCAGTTTCCAGCAGGTGCAGCTCCCCACAGATAAAATGGAGCCATTGGACCTTCGCCTCCTTCTACCTTCAGGAGCTCTTACCACCCAGAAGGCAGAAGGTAGGGCCAAAAGAAGAAGAAGAAAAAAGAGCCTACAACTGGCCTCCAACTGGCTTTCGTCTCCACAAGGCCTCCCCGTGCGCAAGCGTCAGGTGTTTCATTTTTTTCGCTTTTTTTGTTCCCAAACTGTTCCACCTGGCACCTCAGGCAGTGGTTATCAAAATATAGACAGCGGCAGCAGGATCCCACAAGTAAAGAGGATTGAATATAACACCTGAAGTGGACGTGATTGTGGACAGGTGCAGAAAATCGCAATGGATCTTCTTTTCTGCATCTATGCACAGACGACATCCAGATTCAGGCGCTTGATCCAGTCCCCTTCGCTAGAGGCATCTCGCCCCTTGCTAGAGGGACCTTGAGTGAGGTCCCATTATAAAAAAAAAAAGCATCTAGCGCCTGAATGTGGACGTGATGGACTGCGTCTAACGCCTGAACGTGGACGTGATGGAAGGCATCTAACACCTGAATGTGGACGTGTTATCAACGAGCCTAGCCCAGTCTGTACCCCCACAAAACTGTTGACATAGGGCCTCGCCACACCACTGTCGAAAGGCCAAAAAATTTGACGGCTGTCAGAATAAATTCGACATCCTCCCTTCGACAGTTTGCCCCCCTTCACCCACACAGCACTGTAGAGTGATCTCACTTGTGAATGAATGCAAGATGGAAAAAAACGAACGCGCCCTAGGGTACGACAAACATAAGTCCATCCCGACCTCACACCCACTCACCAAATTTCGGAGAGAAGTCGATGGCGCAGCCAAGGACTGTCGAAAGCATCTGAGTAGCAGGATTTTTTTTAATTTCTTTTTGATTCAGCAATTTTTTTTTTTTTAATTCAACAACTTTTGATGGGAGGTGTGGAGAAAAATTCTCTGACAAGTCGCGAATTTTCTTCCCGTCTCCAATGTCGACAGCCTGTGTGACCAAGAGAAACTATCGAAAAAATCGCGTTTTCGACAGCGGTGTGGCTAGGCCCATACAGACCCCCAAGTTCCAATCCAGATACATTCAGATGAAGAGAATAAATTTAAATCATTCTGAATTGCCTCGGGCCGATCAGTTCACCGACACCGATGACCTATGATATCTAGAGGCGGTCGCTCTTCATACAAAAAAAGAAAAAAAGGGAAAATTGTTGAAATGCCCCTAAGAGTTCAGATATTTCGTCAGATACCCCCAAAAGGCATGGGTATGGCGAAACGGAGATGCAGAAGTCTGGGGCATTTCAGCGTACCCCTGTGCTTTAGGGGTATCTAACGAAATACCCAGACTTTTAGGGGTATTTCAACAATTTTCCCAACAAAAAAGGCATCTGGACAAGTGTGGAAAATCACAATTTATCCGCTTTTCTGCATCTCTGCACAGAACACATCCAGATTCAGGCACTTGATCCGAGATCCCCTTCGCTACTGTGACCTCGCCCCGGGTGCCACGTCCCGCTTAATATACAGATGTACAGTTTCAGCCACGTGCGTACAGTTTTCAGCCACGTGCGACTCAGTGTGATGGCTGAGAAACATTCGCCTCCTTTTTCTTTTTCTTTTTTTTGGGGGCGGGGGAATTTGCAAAATACCCCCATACGTTGAGATATATGCCAAAATGCCCCTAAAGATGTGGGCAGAGCGGAATACCTCTCTGACAAAAGAAGTATTTTGTGAAATGCCCCTGCCATCGGTTGGACCCCCATCTTTGCAATATACCCCTACCGGCTACCGTCCAACTTTGGAAAATGCCCCATTACTTGCCAACTTTTCCTAGGCTCTATTGCAAAAGGCCAAGGCCCAAACGGGGAGGTCCAGATTGCAAAGATGCACACTCGCCTGGCAGGGGCACAACACAAAGATTTCAGTCCAAAAGGGCATTCCGCTCTACCCACATCTTTCAGGGGCAATTCGGCATATATCTCAACTTATGGGGGTATTTTGCAAATTAACAAATTATCCCTTTTCCTCCTTGCGCCAGGCCATGCTAATCTTCCTTCTCTGCATAGTTCCAATTTTAACGGCTGTCCGCCTCTTTGCATCGGCAGGTGGTTTGGTGGCGATATTTGTTTTCCTTTTTTTTTTTTTTGCATTTTCATTTCGTAAATACAACGTAAATTCGCGATGGTTCGAACACAACGCCCCCTGCCCACGTTGAGTCCTCATTACCCAGACGTGGGAGAGCACTACAGAAATGGGAGGACACTCTGACAGAAGTGGGAGGACACTCCTTTCGTTCATTTCGGAGGTGAATGCACAGAGCCTGCTTTCCTGTCCACGTTCGTTTCACGGTTTTTTTTTTGTTTTGTTTTTTTTGAAAAAGCGCGACGACCTTGAGCTACCATCATCGAACTGATCGACCCTACCTTCTTCCCCCGAATACAACGTACGGTCATTATAGCTGTATCTGGACTGAAAGATGCCTCAAATACAGGTATAATGACCGTACGTTGTATTCGGGGAAAGAAGGTAGGCAATTCAGAATTGCTGTAGGAAAAAAAAAGGAAAAAAAAAAAGAATTGCTGTAGTATTTCACTCATCTGCTTCCAGTGGACCAGTGGAGTCCGAACTCGAGACTGGGGTGTGCCAACTCCGCTACAGTCTTCCCCCGAATACAACGTCTGGTCATTATAGCTGAATTTGTGGTATCTTTCAGTCTAAATACAGCTATAACGACCGTAAATTGTATTCGGGGAAAGAAGGTAGAGCAGTTGATGTTTCACGCTTCATCCCGAAGTACACCAAGAGAGTTCCCTATGCTAAGGAGAGTATCACAGTTTCACTCAAGGAGAAGATTTTGTTCCTCCATAATGATTATATTTTTTCAAAATTTTGGACAAAAGCAGATTGACGCATTTTTTTCTCGATTTTATTTTTGTGAAAATATGGAAAATAACTTTGAACCTAGGCTACCAGAGTGGCCCGGGTCCACTTGCCCGGCCGGGCCAAAAATATTTATTAAAAAAAAATTGTCAATTTAATTTTTTATTTTAAATTTGGTAAAGAATTTCGATGTGACCCTGAGGCAAACGTTGGTAAGTTTATTTTTATGCATAACATAATTTTTTTTTGGATTTTTTGAATTTGTTTTTTTTTTTTTTTTGGTTGGGACCTTCCCTGGTCCTTGCACGGCCGGGCCGCACGGGAAACCCGGGCGGGCCGGCTGGTAGCCTAGCTTTGAACAGCATTTGTTTCTGTTTTTTTTTTTTTTTTGCATTTGTTTTGAATTTTTTATTCACTTAAACGGTGCATGTGAGACATGGCCACGGACCCAAGAGCCTAGCTCAGTGGGTACACCCACGAACTGTTGAAATACAGACCTGTGCTCGAATCCAGATGATGGAACTTGACGAGTAAAACCAACTACTAATGAATTGCTTGGGCCCGGTCAGCTCAATGATAATATCTCAAGGCTGTCGCCCTTTAAAAAAAAAAAAAAAAAAAAGACATGGCCACGGGGGGCCAGGTCCCACTAGCAACGAGGATAAGTCTAATCGCCTGAATCTGGACGTATTTTCAGGCAGAGATGCGGAATAGCAGATCAGTCCCCATTTGCTGCACCTCGCCACAAACACGTCCAGATTCATCCGCTTCATCCAATTCTGTTTGCTACGGTAGCGGGACCTCGCCCCGGGTTACTATTCCTTCATGTGCATCAATTCCCAGCGATTTTTTTTTTTTTTTTTTCCCTTTTTCTTTTAAGGTGAGCTTTTTTTTTTTTTTTTTTCAATACCCGGATATCCTGTCAGGTGAGTTTTTCAGCACTGCTTAGCGGATTCCGACTCAATCAAGCCCATGGGCCCACTGTAGCTCCACTACTCACCAAATGTGTCAAAATGAGAATGAATCTTCCAGTTGAACACGGGAAGATACACCGCCATTATATTATTTTGTCTATTGTGCACGTGGTCAGTAGTGGAGCCAGGGGCCATGACCAGGAGCGGGGTCCCACTAGCAAAGGGGATTGGATTTAACATCCTGAATCTGGACGTGTTTTAAGCAGTTCAATCTCGACATTCTGCACCTTTCCACAAACACGTCCAGATTCAGGTCTTCAATCCTATCCTCTTTGCTAGTGGGACCTCGCCCCAGAGTCCTGCTGGCTGTACCAATCAACACGACGTTGTACAATTGAGTACAGATGGCATTTTTATTTTTTTCCTTAAATTATTCCCTCCTCTTGTTTTTTTTTCCTTTTTTTTTTTCTTTTCTCCTCCTCTTTTCTCTCTCTCCCAGGTTATGCTGAAAAAAAAACGATGTCGCTTTACAAAGACGTTTTTTTTTCGTTTTTTTTTTTTTTCTTTTCTTTTTTTTTTCGATTTATGCGTGTCATCCTTTGCGCAGGGGCCATGCTCTAATCTAAGCTTCTTCTCTCTGAGTATCGTTCCAATTTTGACGGATGTCCCCAGGGACAAGACGCTATATTTCAACAACGCTGGATCTCTAAAATGCAATTAGTAATAATTACTCGGAGAATGATACAGTCCACTCCATTTTTTTCCCTAAATTTTCCTAAATTTTCCTAAATTTTCCTCCTAAATTCTCCTAAATTCTCCTAAATTTTCCTTCCTAAATTTTCCTAACAGATCTCTGAAATTTAATCTTTTCCTCAATTTTCGAAAAAACAGCATAGTAGCAATCAACACAAACACTCAGAGAATGATACAGTCCACTCCATTTAAAAAAAAAAAATCAAAATAAATTTTAATAAACTTAATAATCACAAAAAAGCAAACTCACCAGTGAGTACAGAACCAGGACGGAGAAGACTAGATTCATCCCAGCATATACTGGGGAATAGGGAGAAACGATCAGCACTTCGTTCCAGCTTTTCTGTCTGCGACCGTTATCCTTGCCGCCGTTATCTTGACCTCTCCGTGCCGCCATCTGCATCGCTGATATACTTGCAGCACTGCCCGGCTGCCACGACCGGGCGAGATAGAGTGACTTTCGCAATCGCATAATGTCCTCATGATGACGAGGATGATGAGGATGATGAGGATGATGACGAGGATGATGATGTTCATCCACGCCAAACCCGAAGTTATTTTTGCCTCCTCCTTCACCTCCTCCTCCTCCTCCTCCTTCTTCCTCATCAGCTGACCCCCGCCCAACTCTTTCTTCCACCTCTCCGCCATCGCCATCGACCTCGCTCCGCCAGCTCCTACTCCCAGTCCCACCTCCACTTCTCCTATCTGATGAAGAATGACTCTCTGAAACGGCATTGCAGCGAAGCGACGCTTCTCCGGGGAACAGCTCGATGCCAGTCTCTGCCACAGGCACAAGAGGATGACTGATCGCAAAACTGTCTCCATCTTCCTCCTCCTCCTCCTCCTCCTCCTCCTCCTCCTCCTCCGAGCTCTCCTCGGAGCTCTCCTCCCTATCCTCCCTGCGAGCTCTTCTTCGCATCGCTCCAGGCCCTGCTTCTTCGGCTTCTAGTTCGACTAGCCTGTGCAGCCTGTACTCACGAGGGTCGTTTTGCAATTGTGCCCTTCTATCTCGGGGAGATAAGTCCAAATACACGCTCCCTTTATAATCCAACAGCGAGGTGGTGGACTCAGTCAGAAATGAGCTAGATCGCTCGTCACGCCAACAAAACTTGCTTCCCCCTCCCACAGCAGTCGATACTTCCATCCAATTCTTCCTCACCTCCCTCCTCTCCCTCCCCTCCCTCCTCTCCCTCCTCTCCCTCCTCTCCCTTCTTCCCTCTACACCACTACTACTACTCTCTCCGTCACTGCTCCCATCGCTACTGACCCAGCGCTCACTTAGCCCCCCTCTGTGACCGACACCGACCCTCAATCCCCGCTCCTTCTGTCGCTGATCGCCCCTGCCAACCATACCCTTCGGCGCCACCCTCTGACCTCCGGATCCCAGTCCAAGTCTGGGTCCGCTTCGGGGTCCCGCTTGCAGCTCGTGGTCGGGGTCCCGCTTGCAGCTCGAGGTCGGGCTCCCGTTCCAGCTTCAGGTGCACACAGTGCGCCGCCCGCCCCGTTGCAGCTTCAGGTCCGTCAGACAATACCAGGGCTGAAAAGGGTCCACCCCCCCCCCCAAGTTCTCAATCAGAGCCAGATACGGAGCGAATCCGCAAAGAAGGACCCACCGGGAACCCGACGGCCACAGAGAGAGGTTCCAGGTTCCGAGTCCCAAGTCCCAGACCGATCACCGACGGTCCCAAAACTTTTCCGCCAGTCTACGCGGAGGGCGCTCGGTTTCCCCGCCGGCCCCGGGATGAATAGTGTCACAGGCGCGCACGTAGCTTAGCTTTCAATGCAGTGGAGGCGCGCAAAATTGAACGTGAACGCAACGAATAGTGTCAAAGGCGAAACCAAAATTGCTTCCAAGTCCGCGGGGGGAGCGGGAGGGGAGGAGGGGGGGGAACTGCAAGCGCAATCCGAACGCGTCTCAGGCAAATTCTAAGATTCAAATATTTAAATCTACAGCACCCCGTAAGAACGAGGGAATTTATTAAAAAAACAAAATAGGGAATTTATTAAAAAAATAAAATAGGGAATTTATTAAAAAATAAAATAGGGAGTTTATTAAAAAATAAAATAGGGAATTTATTAAAAAAATAAAGTAATGAATTTATTAAAAAAATAAAATAATAATAAGGGATAAGCTAAGCAATGACGACAGCCAGAGAAATTAGGGACGAGCCGCAAAAAAAAAGAAATACTGTTGATACTAAAAAAAGGTTGTCTAGCTACTTGCCCTCCCTCCCACACCCCACACCCCTCAGAAGGGATTTCCCTCTCTCTCTCTCGACCACACACATATGGACGGGAGCCGCCGAAATAGTAAAAGCAAGTCAACAAAAAAAAACAGAAAAAAAGGAAATAGTTCAAATAGTAAGCAAGCAGGACCTATTACCAGAGAAGAGCTTTCTCTCGTGTGGGCAATAGGCTGCAAAGACAGAGTTAGCAATACAAAAAAAAAATAAAAAAAATCAAGACATAAAAATAAGCACGTCAATACGAAAACATAAAAATAAGCACGTCAACAAAAATAAAAATAAATTAGTAGATTTTTCTACAATCCCTGTTCACAAGCAATGGTTACAGAAAATCATGGGAAGGAGAAGAAGTTGCTGCCAGCTAACGCAAGGAAGAATTTATCGCCACCTACATCCTCTACCCTTCGTCAATATCGTCACAAAAAAAAAAAAAAAAAAAAAAAAAATCGTCAATATCGTCACTACGGTCGATATCAAGACATAAAAGTAAAAAATTAAATCAACAAAAATAAAAATAAAATAATAAACTGATAATCCCGGTTCGCAAGCACTAGTTCTCGGGTTCAAAGGAAGACTATAGAGCATGCCAAGAAAAAAGAAAAAAGAAAAAAACTAAAAAAGATAAACAATAACAAAAAAAAAAGAACAACAACAAGCTGCTGTTACCTCCTACCGCAAGGACGAAGCTCTCGACGCCTCCATTCTCTACCCTTCGTCGATATCGTCAGTACCAAAAAAAAAAAAAAAAAATCAACCAAAAAAATGACAATAAAAAATATTCTGATAATCCTGGTTCACAAGCAAGAGCTCTCGCATTAAGAAGAAG